ATGCAAGCGTTTTTTATCCATGTAGTTTATACTTGTAGTGATGAGTTGTATTACTCTGTAATGATATGGGTGGTTATTTCTGTTCATTAATGAGATGCAAGTAATAACCTCTTTAGCCATGTGTTCCTTAATAACACCTTTAGAAGTTAAGAGATAATTATTTTCTGTTTTTTCAATGTATTTTAAAGTTTGTTTGTTCTTCCATAATTATATCATCCTCGGCAGAGAAAATTTTGAATATACAGAAAAGTTGAAGAAATTTTTAAATCACGATTACTCCACTACCAAACCATACTCCTTTTAATCTTGAATATTTTAAAATTAATCTTTTATTCCAGAAATTCACAAATTCATTCCTTTAAAAAATTGTACATGACAGATCTAGCTTAGGTCTCTTCTCCCCTCCCCCATTCTAGACCCCTCCTCAAAAGTAGCTATTATTCAGCAGTTGGGGTATATGTTTCCAGAGCATTTGTAATCCACTCAGGCTGTGTTTCCAGGCTCAAATTTTGAATACTAAGTAAAGAGTGTTATTACCATGACCCAGAGTACTGCTCAGTTTTGATAATTATTGAATTTGGTAAATAATGAATGTAGTCGAAAGTAGCTTCTTTTTCTGTCTTGCTAAAGCTCGAGATTAGCGAGAAAGTTAGTTTGCAAGGTGAGTTTCAGTTGTCCCTTCACCCCCATTATTAAGTGATGGTGACATTTCAAGTATGTTGATATAAATTTCTACCATTCTCTAAGAATGGTGCTGTAGAACTGGGAACCACCTAGGAATCATTAGAGTTGGCAGGGACCTCTAGTTCTCTGGAGAGTGACCTCTGCTTTCCTAACAGGTGGGCACCAGCTTCTCCCCTGCAGGTGCCGGGGGTGTGCAGTGTGTGCACAGCCTGCACGTTCCAACTCCATGCTGTTGCATCTCGGGAATTCATTGCGCTGTAACCAACTTGGTTTGAATACTGACGACATTGCCTAAGTTAACCTCTCTGAGCCTCACTTTTCTTACCTAGGAATATTAATAGTACTCTTTGTACAAGGCTGATGTGAGAGTTAAACGAAACCATGTAGAACACCAGTAAATGCTCATTAGATGATGGCTGCCGTTATTTTTGTCCCTAATGCAGGTGGCCCTTGGGGGCTTGTTTGGCAGAGATTTTGACGACAGTGGGTTTGCTTCCTGATTGTTGGTGAGAGTGTTTTCTACCCCCCCATCCCCATTCCACTTTAGCCTGCACTGTGCTGACTTCTCATGGTCCCCCACATCAGCTCCCCCACCCCCAAACTCCCACATATCTAAACCTGGAACTGTTTATCACCTTGCTTTGAAGGAACTATTCACATCTGCTTTCTTAAATGGCATTAAAATTGAGAGAAATGTTTGTTGGAAAATAACGTAAGGCTCAAACCAAAAACTTTGGGACCCCAGGAACACTGGAGTGTGATTGTACAATTAGAAGAGGCAACTGGACTGGGTTCTTTCTCAGGACCTACACCTGGTAGGCACAGGGGCCTCATGAAGCTAGCTCGTATTCAAGCAACTTTAAAGGCTATTGACAAGTGTAATCTTCAAAACTTCCTAAATGGAGTGCCTCATTCGGGTCAGTAGACTGTTGGGAGGCTCACAGAGTAGACATAGGCCTGGCTGTTCTATCAGACTAATCATTTCTATCAAGGATTTGTGGCCTTGACAGTGAAGTGTTAATCCCACCTCAAGATAAGGGACCAGCTGCCGTCTCATTGGTCAGATTTTCCTGGGGCCTAGTTTCTGCTGCTCTGTGCATGGTTAAATTCTATGACCCTCTGTCAATTCTCGTAGGCTCACAAGGTGATGCTTAGCTTTCTTCGATGAGTTCAAGAACAGAGGTAGATGAGCGAGCAAGAGTTTTTCCTTCTCGGCCCCAGGACAACCAGCCTGGAGACTAGCTTTGCTCAGCATCCTGCATGTCCTCTCATTCAACAAATATTTATCATGCATCCACACGGCAGACACTGTTGTGTGTGCTAGGGATACAGAGTGAACAATACAAAGTCCCTGCCCCTGTGGAGCTTATTTTCAGTGAGCTGGACAGACTGTAAACACAATACGTCGTCAGACAGAGCTAAATACTATGAAAAAAGGAAGGTAAGGGTTTAGAGAGTGATGGGAGCGTGGGTGTCAGTGTGATCGTGGAGGGAGAGCCATGTCCCACAGGGCCCCGTGGTTCACTGCGGTGACTTTGGTTCTGTTGTCAGTGTGGGGGAGGCCCTGGAAGGATTGAGCAAGAGCCTGATCCAATCCCTCAGCCCCAGGGGCCACTGTGACTGCTGCTTCGATTCATGCGGGAGGCTGAGGATGCTAATGTCGCCCTCATAAGTGGTCTTAAAAATCACTCACCCTGTGTACTAGTTCATGAGAACATTTATGTGGATATTTAATTGAAAGACAACAAGTTTTCTTTTTTTCTTTTTTTCCCCTTTTTATTGTGGAAGTTTTCAAACATTCAAAGAGCAGACTAGTTAATGAACTTGTGCCCATCACCAGGCTTCAGTAATCACCAGCACAACAGCTG